GCCTACGGGGCGGGGGCGACGGAGCAGGACCTGGGAGGGTGAGAGCGGGGCCTCTCACCCCACTGCCCCCACCGCGCAGGAGCGACCCCCCCAAGCTCAACGCCTTCATCATGGACAAGTCGCTCCTGGACTACGAGGTCTCCATCGACGCCGACTGCAAACTACTGACCGTGGGCAAGCCTTTCGCCATGGAGGGTGAGGGGCCGCGGGGAGCGGTGGCCCCCGGGAGCAGTGGCCCCAGGGGTGGCTCCTCTGGGGCTGCGTCCAGCCTGGCCCCCAACCCCACCCCTGGCCTCCCCCAGGCTACGGCATCGGACTCCCTCAGAACTCGCCGCTCACTTCCAACCTGTCCGAGTTCATCAGCCGCTACAAGTCCTCCGGCTTCATCGACTTGCTGCACGACAAGTGGTACAAGATGGTGCCTTGTGGGAAGCGCGTCTTCGCCGTTACCGAGGTGCGGCAGGGCCAGGGGACACGGGGCGGGGGCAGGCGGGGGCGCACCCTGAGCCTGCACGGCCCCCCCCTCCGGTGGTTGCCAAGATGTGTGCGCTCCTACGCATCCTACCAAAGCCCAGCTCCGATGTCCTCCCCACGAACCTGGAAGCCTCGGCCAGGGCTCCCCTTCCGGCCTCGCCCGCGGAGGGTTTGTGCCTGTGTCGTCCCCCCTGCCCCCCCAGACGCTGCAGGTGGGCATCTACCACTTCTCGGGACTCTTCGTGCTGTTCTGCCTGGGCCTCGGCAGCGCCCTGCTCAGCTCTCTGGGGGAGCACGTCTTCTACCACCTGGTGCTCCCGCGCATGCGAAGAGGCAACAGGCTGCAGTACAGGCTGCACACCAGCCAGGTGAGGGGCGGGTTGCGCCGACGGGCGGGCTGCGCGGGCGGGCGACGGCGACCTCCCGTGACCCCGACAAAGCTCCTGTCCGGACTTGTAGAGAATCCACCGCGCGCTCAACACAGAGCCTCCGGAAGGTCACGAGGAGCCAGAGCCGAGGTAAGGGGCCCCGAAGGCCACCCCCCGGCCCCCTGCCAGCTCTGACCCCCACCCTCAAGCTGACCGTTTGTCGCCTCGGCCCGCCTCGGAAGGACAAGGAAGCCCCACACCGACGGGGAGGGACCCCGACCCCAGGGGCAGAGCGCCAGGGCACTGGCGCAGCCCCATCCACCCCATGTCCCCAGGGCTCCCGAGCAGCAGCAGGACACGCCCACGGCCTCTGCAGGTAAGGGGGGCTGGACACACGTGCGCCGGGCCGCGGCGAGGGAGCGTCGTGTGCGCTTCCTACTGGAGCCCAGTGTGGCCGCCGCAGCGCCGGACTCGGAGGCCGGGCCCCCGGAAGGCCCCGTCTGGCTCTGCTCCAACGGCCGCCTGTCCTCGGGCGCCCCAGGCCCCGGTGAGCTGGAGCAGCTGGAGCGGCGCATCAGGAGCGCGCGGAAGCGGCTCCACCAGGCCCTGGTGCGGCGCCGAGAGCTCCTGGCCCAGCTCGGGGATGGCCCCGGCGACCAGCCTCTGCACCTGCCCGAAGCCCGCTCCGAAGCAGCCGAAGCACCTGAAGTCACGGGTGACTCATCCCAGGGAACGCCCCCCCCACCCCTGCCGGCCTGGACGGGGTGGCCCCCACTCCGGAGCCTGCACAGAAGCCATCCTGGCGCGACGGGAGGAAGCACGGAGGCCCCTCCCTGACCGCACGCACAGACGCCGCCAGGCCGCCGTCAACAGTTTATTCTATATACAAACACGATTTCGTAACTGCAATTAAATAGGATGGAATGAGCGCCTCTGTGCATTCCTCACCGGGGGACTTGGTTTGGCCACCAGCCCTGCCCCACTCCCACCCAAGCAGGGCTGGACGCCTGTGCCCGGCCGCTGCCTTCCAGGTGGGCGCCTGTGTCCGCGTGCCCGACCCCGAGGTGCCAACTCTGCCCTCCTGGGACCC